CAGCACAGAACAGAAAAGTTGTTTGGTGGAACATGTTAACCCGACATGTTTACCAGTATACAGCACAGAACAGAAAAGTTGTTTGGTGGAACATGTTAACCCGACATGTTTACCAGTATACAGCACAGAACAGAAAAGTTGTTTGGTGGAACATGTTAACCCGACATGTTTACCAGTATACAGCACAGAACAGAAAAGTTGTTTGGTGGAACATGTTAACCCGACATGTTTACCAGTATACAGCACAGAACAGAAAAGTTGTTTGGTGGAACATGTTAACCCGACATGTTTACCAGTATACAGCACAGAACAGAAAAGTTGTTTGGTGAAACATGTTAACCCGACATGTTTACCAGTATACAGCACAGGACAGAAAAGTTGTTTGGTGGAACATGTTAACCCGACATGTTTACCAGTATACAGCACAGAACAGAAAAGTTGTTTGGTGGAACATGTTAACCCGACATGTTTACCAGTATACAGCACAGAACAGAAAAGTTGTTTGGTGGTACATGTTAACTCGACATTGTTACCAGTATACAGCACAGAACAGAAAAGTTGTTTAGATCGGGCTATGTATACAAGAGCCTTGACATAATGTAATTGTACACATGCAAATGTATTTCAAAACAGAACGAAAATAAGATTAGCAGAAAACCAAATTCTAATTATAATTATTAATTAAAAAAATAGTTTAGTTTAGTTTATAAATATATTTATTTATAGTGGATTAGGAAACAAGTTATTGCAACTTATATTAATCTTTTTCTACTTTGCAGGTGCGAGTGCTGCCTTGTAGCGGCATTAACCTGCTCTTTTTCAAAATCTACAAGGGTGTCTTTTACGTGCGAGAGATATGGCTCTCTCTTAACACGGGTCAGCCGTTTATCGTCCCTTTCCGACGGACTATCATTGTTTCTCAAGACCATACTCGCAAATGGTGTCAAGGAAGAGCCGAAATTCAGTCCCTGAACTTTTTAACCCGGAGCGGGGATCAAACCTTAAAAAGTTATAAAACAATTAAAGATCTGATACCCCAACATACTAGTCATGCCAACAACAGTTCAATAAAAACCGTGGTGGACCTCCTTTGACACCCATTAGTAGTTAAATATACAGCATATAATTTATGCCTTGCATGTACGTGTCGCTTAGACTCCTGCCATGTACCAAAAAGTGAAAAAAAAATAAAATATGGAATCCCGAGGAAAATTCGAAACGGAAGGCTCTAAGCAAATGACGAAAATCAAAATCTCGAACAAATCAAACGAACTAACAATAACTATCATATTCCTGACTTGATACAGGCATTCCTTATGTAGAAAACGGTGGATTGAACCTGGTTATAAAGCTAGCTCAACAACTCACTTGTATGACAGTCGCATATAAGTTCCGTATATTGACAATGATGTGTGAACAAAAAAAAAAACAAAAAAAAAAAAACAAAAGACACGAATACAAAAATTTACCATAGCAGAATAACACTATGACGGGATGTATAAGTACTGAATCACGTCAAATGGATATTATCAAAATTTGACTAAAAAGTAAAAGGACTAATTTACAAAGACAAATAGAAGAATACTATAATACGTTTTTATTAATAAGACGACAAACAACGTCATGTATTATTTATGAAGTTGTTACGGAATATTTATCAACAAGGTCTTGGTATCTTCCGATGAACTTTTTTTTTAGAAAAAGGACTAGACGTTCTTTGACATACTCCGTAAGCGTTCATCAACTTTCTGCTCAGAATCTGATGACTTTCAATAAAGTCTGAGTAGCATCTCTGTAATTTGCTCCATGGAATGTTTTCAAAATTGCAACAAAAGAAATATATTGGCATGACTACTTATCTACCTGAAACAATATTGATGCCACCAATGAATTCCCCACGTGAACACATACATGTCCCCCTTTTAAATGAAGCTACTGCGGATAAGAAGAAGATTTTCTATGTGGAATCAAACGGTTGCAAGGAAGCTATTAAACCAAGAGTTTCAAATGGTGAAATTGAAATCATCCCTTTGTAAATTTTACGGACGCAATCACGAGTTATTTGACAGATGATATCGGATATGTTCCTTCTGTCGTAACTACAATCCCGTTCTCTTTTTACGAATGTGACCTACCGAATTAGACTATTTACCAGGTTTGTAATAACATGAGCAACACGACGGGTGACACAAATGGAGCAGGATCTGCTTACCCTTTTAGAGCACCTTAGATCACCCCTAGTGTTTGGTTGGGTTCGTGTTTCTTAGACTTTAGTTTTGTATGTTGTGTCGTGTGTACTATTATTTGTCTGTTTGTCTTTTTCTTTTTCAACCATGGCGTTGTCAGTTTATTTTTTCGATCTATGAGGTTTTTTTAGTGTCTCTCTGGCACGCCCCTCTTTCAGAAATAAATTTTAATTAAATTTCAAAGTCCGTTTACACGACGCCACTCTTTGACATCATGAATTACCAAAAAAATAAAAACCACTGCAGCACTCAAGGAAGGAAATGGAAACTAGACTCCACTAAAACAACATTTGAACTAAGACGAAGATAACCTGTTGATTCAGTTAACGTCCTAAATATGCTCCTATAGATATTTTCTGGATTCCCAATTCGGTTGCTGTACAGTAAATAAATACCAATGTTCACCAAATAAATAGGTACACATTAAATTTTGTTGATTTTTAATAGTCATAGGGCTGTTTTTGATTCATCTTAAAGCAAATTTTATGACCATCTTATGACTATCATATGCTATGCCATAGAATGTAGTTCATAGCTGTCATAAGATAGTCATACCTCTGATGTTCTTATGACAGTCAAAAGTGAAAATATGTAACTATGAAAATAATATCTATTACTATTCTTATCTTATACGAATATTTTATATTTTTTTCATTATACTGAACACGATGAACATGAAATTATATATGGAAGGGAGTTAAACTCAGAGTTGATAATTTGTTTAAATATAGAAGGAACTTCGCGTTCATGTATTATTATAACGAAGTGTTATCTAAAAGGGAATAATTTTAAGATTTGGTACATAGAATACCCGCTTAAAGAAATGACCGTGCAAATACGTTAATGATCACTACTATATAAAGAAAGAAATATTATAAATATTCATTAAAAATAATCATTACAAAGAAAAGGATTCCATATTGTACGTCGCAGGAGATTAATTTTAAATGACGAAGTGGAGAAGAAATAAATCTTAATTATTTAGCAGATTAAACGACAGAACAAACTGCCAAAAAGAGATCAAGAAAGGCTCCATGTAGAAACTCATTTTTATAGAAGGGCTAAATATATGGTTTATGTATAGACTTTTAGCTTATAAATGTACCACTCCAAACGATGCCTAGTTTGGGCCCCTTTTTTCAAAATCCTGGATCTGCATGTTGCATGAGCAAGTACAAAAAATGTGTGATAACGTAACATTTATGACAATCAAAAGACCATCATAAGTCATGTCGTAAGGTGTCTTAAGTGTACGATAAAAGTTCTGAATATAATGACTTGAGACCCTTTCGAATACATATATTATGACATGTCCTTAAACCATCGTAAGGCATGTCTTATTCATAAAATACTTTCGAAAAAAATGCTTCAAGTCTTGCCTTTCAATTTTCTCCTTGTCCTTCATATAAATAATTTCAAATCTATGATACCCTACGTGAACATATCTACAACATTTAAAAAGTTGGTGCTATGTGAATGTGACCTGCAGTCACCTATCATTTTGCCAGCTATGACAGTGTAAATGATATTTTAAATATTTCCAATAATCAATATTACTTGTAAATCACCATGATCACAGGCTATTCTGTTGATAATCAAGAAACCTTGCACTTCAAAATTATTTTACCGCATAATATGCTCAATTATGTTTCCTTTTAGATATTTAGATCTATCTTTTTGGTTGGGACTATATTAACTTGCGTATACACTGTTCGTAGTGCAACGGTTTTGACGTTGAGTGACTGGCAGTAACCCTTCACATAAGCTTTTATCCTCGTGCAGCATAGTACGAGGTTATTTATTAGAACGGAAAAACATTGTCGGTGACAAAACACAGCTTTGTTTCGGGCCAATTCTTAGTCGATGAAACCTGTTTCCTGCACTAGCACCAAACAATACTTTATTTGATACATTGCTATAAAATGATTTGAGCAATTTCCAGCAATTACCTTGAATGCCGTTTTTCCACAATGAATATAAAAAACAATGAATACATTTTGTAGGTTTTTTCATATTTGTGCTGTTATTTCTTCTCTTGTAAAAAGAATTTTCTGTGACTAACATTCAGATTTTCACTGCGTCCATTTACCTGGTATTTAAAACATACAATTTAAACATGCTTAACCCCGCCATATTCTGTATGTGCCTGTTCCAAGTAAGGAACCTATAATTCAGTGGTTGTCGTTTGTTGCTGTGTTTATACAATTGTATATATAAAAAAAGAAGATGTGGTATGATTGCCAATGAGACGACTCTCATATATAACAAATATGTAACACATATGTATGTATTTTTATTAACAGAAAATTAACGCATTTGTTAAGGCGCCCTTTGTAAATGAGCTGTCCAGAATAGTTAACATTTGACTATTTTAGCAGGTCTATTTTTAAAACACATTTTTAAAATCACATTTTAAAACACATGCAGGGCGATTTTGTAATGATGCTGTTAAATGTATAATGTATTATACTTTTGAATCTTTTGATCTCAAGCCATCGTGCTGGAGGTGATTCTAGCTACATTGTTCGTAAGCACGGAAACTGATATCAAGTGTTTAAAAGATTTCATCTTAGTTTTTTTTTGTTATATTCCGTCGTTCAATCGTTAGTTTTTTATGAATTGTTTTGTAGATTGCTTTATGTCTTTTCGTCGATTTTCGTTTCATCCACAGTGTTGTACGTTTGTCTCTGATAATTCCCGGCTCTTTTTTGTATAGAATACTTCCACGTCGTTAAAGACAGTTTGAATCCAGAATCTTCTTAAATCATCTGATTTTATTCAATGCTTTATTTATGTCTCCTCTCTCAATAAGTACAATACACAATTGTAAATTGTAAAACAATACCACATCAAATGATGATCATTCTATACAGAACTATATGAAACTATCAAAATGTCAAGATATAAGAGACTATTAAAATGGCAAGATATAGTTTATAAACAATATAAAAAAGTATTTACAGTATAGGAAATTTCTACGCTTTCTAAAATTAAATAACAGATTTTTGACATTATCATATATCATATAAACATTTAAGAGTAAAATGTAATTTTTTTTAGTTTTCATTTAAATTATTAAATAAATGGAACATCTGCATAAAACTTGCGTTTCGTCTTCAATCATAATATACAGCACATACTGTGTTTTCTAAAATTGGATTTAATATCGCCCAGTTTCAATTCTAAGTAAGCTCACAGCACGTGTACATTTGGCGAAAAGTGCTTGGTTGACTTACTCAACATTCCGCTAAATTATAATAAAATAACAGAAATGAAAATGATCTGTTGCTTAATAAATGAAAATATGACATTTTATAAATTTGTTTCGTCCGATGCTCTTTTCAGGATTTACCTTCATCAGGATGCACACAATTAAATTTTTTAAAACGAATCATGTATAAAATAAAATTGAGAATGGAAATGGGGAATGTGTCATAAACAACAACCCGACCAGAGAGCAGAAAACAGCCCAAGGCCACCAATGGGTCTTCAACACACGAGAAATTCCCGCACCCGGAGGCGGACTCCGCTGGCCCCTAAACAAAATTGTGTACTAGTTCAGTGAAAATGGACGTCACACTAAACTCTGAAACATATAAAATTTCCAATTGAAAGGAGCAAGGACTGGCGTTCAGAATATGAACCAGCACACAGGAATTGAATAAAGTAAAAGATAAAAACTTTTCGGTTAAAGACGTCAAAAGCAATTTTTGAGGATGTGTACAACCCAAAGGGGCCTAAGTCGGATATTCTAAATCAACCTAATGGCCTAACACATACTGACTTTATTTTTATTCTCATTATCCTTGCAGTGTTGATCACAAAAAAGAAATGAGTGAAAGCAAAATGTAAGAAATCTTTGCGTAAGAATTTGCAAAAAGCAAATCGGAAGAATGTAGCACCAATATCATGTAGCAATACATCTATTATTATGGGGTAGTATATAAGAGAAGGTTCGTCAGAAAAATATACAAAATATAGTAAAATTATAATACATATGAAACACTTGGAAACGTGTCTTACCCCTCAAACTTGTCCATATGACGTTACTGTACGTCCAAAGATGTCTAGCTTGTGTAAGACCCCGAGGTTTCTGAAAAAGCCATAAACAGATTTGGTAGTAACTTTCTTGACGTCAATTGGCAACTATGTTTATGCATATTAAGGACGAGACCAAATTAACTATTAATAAATATTGCAGGTTTTTATAATTTAGGCTTTTAATTCGTATAACTCATTAACTCAGTAAATCACCGGGAACTGTACGCAAACTATAAGTGGAAAATACTGCATGCATAGTTAGGACGAGAACAAACTAACAATTAATACAAATTGTAGTTTTTTTGTTTTTTTTTTATTTTGGGCTGTTATTTCTTCTTTTGTAAAAAGCATTTTCTGTGACTAAAATTAAGATTTTCACTGCGTCAATATACCTTGTAAAAACCAAATATATGTATTTTATAATACTTTCTGTGACTGCTCTTTATAAACTTGCAATACGTTTAAGAGGTTCCCATTTTGAATTTTATTCTTGTAACTCAGTTAATCTTTTATTATTCGGAAACTGAACCCAAACTACCACTGCATTGATGTATTTGGATAGCGGTTTTATTATTTTTGTCTTTACGTGGATCAACAAACAATGTTTTCAATCGAGTCTCTTATGACTGCGGTAGACATTATTTACGTCACAGAGGGCATATACGTTAAACGAAGACATTTGGAGAAGTGAAATTAGATACGTTTGAGCGATTTGTGATTTTGAGAACACATTTGAGCGAAATGGACACGTTTCGGTGAAGCGGACACGTTTTAGAGTGTTACATACTAGTATATATATATTTGTAGATTATTGTAATAGACTATGCATCGGCCTTTAATATCGCCTCCGGGTGAGCAATTTTCTCGCTGCGTTTAAGACCCGTTGGTGGCCTTGGGCTGTTGTTAACTTTGCTCTTTGGTCGGGTTGCTGTCTATTTAACACATTATCCTATTCCATTATCAACTTGATATTTGTTTTTATCTTGAGTATTTAAACAGATCTTCATATGCAGGCGGTTGTTCCGTCGGTATTGTAGTCACCGATTTAAACCTAGGCAATGGACGGCGTGTTTGTTGAGAATGATTTGACATTTTAAAAACAGACGCATGTGGCAGAGGACTTTCGAATGTAGCTTCTCTACTGTAAAGATCATTTTGTCCAACGTCAATATTGGTCGAGGGCGGAGGCGGAGGCATATAGTAATTATTTGAAAGCCAAATGTTCTGATTCGTTGTACTGTCATTGTGATATTCTAAATGGTTAATTGGAATACTCAGATCGCTCATTGTATCATCACTAACTTCTTCACTTGTATAATCTCCTTCCATTGATGATGAATCAGTGTCTTTGGTAGATAAAATACGATGACTATTCATTGGTGATGAAATTGTAGAGACCTGATTCTTCTTAGGTGTATTGTGTTTATTTTCCTGATTCTCAGATGATTTTGAACTTTGTATGAAATTAAATGATGCGGTCTGCTTGGGTTCTTGCGTTTGTTGGTGTCCTACAGCCGGTCCTGGAATCGATCTTGTAGGCTGGGTGGTATGTTGCTGTTGTGTTCCTTTAGAATTCTGTGTAGGAGATCCATTCCTTAATTTATCATGTTTTTCATCTCTTTGGGCGCATCCCCATAATAGTGTGATAAAAAATAGAACGAGGAATACAATTAAAACTGTAGTATGCGTCTTTAGATGCTCGAAACACGGTTTTATGCGGTCTTCTTCAAGGACTGTCCCATTACATGTATTAAACACCCGTGTTTGGACGGCAAAATTACCAACAAAAGCTGCCGCTGGACCGCAGGCAATCACACCAACCCATAACAGAAGAACACTTAGTCCAACCTGAAATCAAAGGAAGAGATATGAAGGAAAAGTAAGAATTGTTGACGATGTCAATAATCATTTTTATATAGCAATTACTATTCTACAATTTACCATTAATGTCAAAGGTCAAAGGCCCAATAACATATGTTCGAGTGGATATTTTCTTTATTTTGAATGAAAGAGACAGTGAGATTGGAAGCAAAATTAACATGGAAAACCAAGATAATAGATATAAGAAGATGTGGTATGAGTGCCAATGAGACAACTCTCCATCCAAGTCACAATTTGTAAAAGTTAACCATTATAGGTCAAAGTGCGGCCTTGGCCTACACCGAACAGCAAGCTATAAAGGGCCCCAAAATTTACTAGTGTAAAACCATTTAAACAGGAAAACCAACGGTCATATCTATATTTGAAATGAGATACACTTATGAACCAAATAAACAAACGACAACCACTGAACAACATGATCCTGACATAGGACAGGTGCAAACAAATGCAGCGGGTTTGAACTTTTTAACAGGCGCCAACCTTCACCCTAACCTGAAATAATAGTGTAACATCACAACATAGAAAGACACACTATAAAATATCAATTGAAATGGCTTAACTCAATCAAAAGACATATTAACAAAACCAAGTAAACATACACTGAACTAATAAATTTGATCTATGACACAATGTAAATACAAAATTAATAAAAAAAAAGGGAATGAGTTGTAAAACAATATCAGAAAGAAAACTATAAGCTTGGACAAAATGCCGTTAAATAAAATAACGTACACAGGTAAATAAAAAAAATTGTTGTAGGAAGTACATGAAGTACGGAAATATTTTTTACAAAAAAACATAAATTTGTTGTTCATAGTACGAGAACAGAAGTGAAAATTTATCGTCATACTAAATACTTATCAAAGGTGGTATATATTGAAAATTATGTGATGGAGATATAACACAAAATAAGTTAACATTAAATTACACAAATGCATTACAAATTGTATCAACAGGTCAAATTAACACGAAATTACGATTTGAGAGTACTCGCAGTTACTGAAAGCTAGTTAAAAGCCAAAAACAATTAATAATAAAATATCATGCATCAGAGACTTAAGACTAAACACAAAATACATTTGTTTTTCGAACGTTGTTTATAACTTTATTGGTCCACTCCGTTTCTGGTCCAGTCGTATATGTTGAGTCCTTTAGTAGAAATATCGTAATCATACTGAAAAATATAAAGGCGGCCTAATGTTCGGTTAGATGACTTTAACTTTCATTTGCTCTTCTTGTTATTCTATCGCATGATTAGTGACGTCAATGTGTTTGAACTGGACTTATCATCCATGTCAAAATCTTTGACCTGACATTGATAAGTTTGAAACTTACAAAAATAGCAGCTGCTTAAATAGAAATGTTTTGTTGTGATTCGCAAGAAATACAATACCAATGCACAGACAGCAAAATAGTAGGTACTTATCGACATGCTTTATTCATTAAGGGCTAAATTACATATAAATATACTTTCGGTGAAGGATTCGACTTTCTACTATACTAAACTCACGCGGAAATCAGAGAAAGAGCAACGACTGGTTGGCTCGGAGTAATTATGTGTCCATGTAAGGTGATATGTCTTTCTGTGGATTGTTACTTTGTTAACTAGCACGTGAAAAATCCGAATTAGCATGTCGATCTAATACAGAGTAGGGTTCTCACTGTCATATCACATAATCATGTTCTCAGATGGCAAGTCAGATGCGTTTAAAGACATTCTACCAAAATGTACGTATTATTACTCCGCAGTTTGCCGAGGATATCCGAATTTCTCTTCATGATATGCATTAAACAATGTTAAATAATTACCACTGGGCTGCCATTTGTGATCTTGTATATAGACTGTTCGTATATTCGTTGGTTTATTTTTTGTAATTTGGGAACTGTATTTAAACTTTTAAATTAACAAAATACCCCGAATGTTACATATTCTTTTGTTTATCCCTGCCACATGTTCATGTGCCTGTCCAAAGTCAGGAACCTCATTACTAGTGGTCTTCGACTATTGTCTAAAACCGTACTTTTACCTCGAAATATCTTTTTAGATATTTGTGTCGTATGGTTGCCGTCTCTTTTTTGTTCAAATTTTGAAACGCGATATTATGAGCACGCTTTCTGAATACTTATAAGTATGTACAGTAGTGTCAGATACTTCCAAAAGCTAATTAAGGAGCGCCAATATCGATCTGAAATATTGAAAGGCAACTACGTTTTATTTTGTTTTCTAGTTTTTATCATATTTCTGAAGATATATATATAAACTACATACACAGTCTCCAACTTCTTTACGTCTGTTCTTCTTTTCGTGGTCACATATGCAGCAAATAACTAACACATGGAGTAAAGACTGTAAAAAATATAGAAGAATGACAAAAAGGATCGTAAAGTTGTTTATTAAAGCATGACTTGACACACCTAAAAGACTTCTTTTTGTAACTCTGGATTTCTTTTACGACTGTAGAAATGAAATCCGAAAAATTCATTTGTTTATGGACATGTACTAGTAACTTATTTCACAACGGAAAGGGGTATAATTATGCAGCCTTAAAAGTGCGTGTTTGTACTCTCCTACATTTCTATCTCAATTTAATTTAAAAGTTTAAAACATCGATAAACGTTTTTGAAGATGGTTCATGGTGCTCTTTTTTTACAAAATTTTTAATAATATCTATAAAATATTTTCTCCAGCTATTGACCGTATGGGAAATAATCAAATTTGACTTGTTAAAGTTGTAACCGAAAATGAACAAATCTGTATTAAAAGACAATAAATCTGTGAACGTGGGTCTCTGACTTTCGATCTCTTTTTCCTAAGAAAATACTTGAAAACCACAAAACTTTATATACTTACAACGCCAGCAATGATAAAAGCACCAATGTATATCCTATTCCAGGGACTTTGAAAGATGTCTTCGTCAAATTCCTGTTCATCAAATTTTCCTATCTCTTTAGCTGTTAGAATTCCAAAGGTTAGACAAACACACATGCAGCCAAAAAATAATAAACCGCTTACAAACAATTTCTTAATTTGTTCCTGTCTTTCTGTTTCTAAAATAAACAAATAAACCCTTGTTCTTTAATGACGAGGATAATCCAGAAATTGTCAAGATAAGAAGCGCAAATTCTTACATAGAAGCAAATTTAATACTCCTTCAAATGTCACATCGTTCAGGACTTCAAAATAAATTTTCCTAAAATTTAAAAACCACTTATTCGGGCTCTGTCAGGAAGAAAATAAGAAATTAGTACATATTACACACAAAATAGTTCCTACGCATACCTTGAACTTTCAAAATTTGTAAAATATTTGGGTAATTTTGGTAGAAAATAAAAGCTGATGGACATGTTGAACCCTTCTTAAATGTTTACTTTGAATAAAGGTGTATAAAATTGTAATATAACGGCTATTTCCTGGATAAGGCAAATTCAATTTACTGCAAATAGGAAAACAAACAAGTTTTTATAATGACCGAAAATGTTGAAAACAATTTTGGATTATTTTATTTTAATTGTCTTTTCTGAAAATATTTTTCCTACAATTTTCTTTAAAATGGTATGATAGTGTCCCTCATTGAATGGTTAGTTTGAATAATAAAGCAAGTTGTATGAAATTGAAATAGAAATGAAATGTATCGCCTGTTTCTCAAATCGGGAGTTCCTGTTGTTGTAATTCGTGACGTCCGGGATCAAATGCGCTCTAATTTGCAATTGAAGGTATGTTGATTTTTTTTAGCACAAACAAGGCTAAGGAATTGTTTCGATATGAAATGTCTGTCTTTATGTCTAAACTTGAGTCAAAATGAGTAAGAATGCCTGAATTTGGTGAGAGAAAGCAATGGTAGTATGGTACTATGAATTCGTGATCGTAGGAGGAGGCCGGGGTTAGAAGTGTTAATCAGTGATGCATTTGTAAGAGACGGTGTAATTAATGCGTTTTAAGCATTCATATAAAACAAAATATATGTATGATGTTTTTACTTAGAAGCTTGCAAAATAGTTGACAAAGATGTACAAGAGTATAAGATCCTTAATTAAAAAACGTGCTTAAATGTACTGGGTTTTCTTTCCTCTTATCACATTATCTTGATGAATGAATCAATTTGTCGCAAAATTATAAATCAAATGACAATGTTGTTCGTTTCAAGAAAAACTACACTCTATTCCCTTTCGTTTACTGCAGTTACGCAATTTTGTTTAAGGTGGTAACCAACACCTTGACTAATATTAATTTGGCTCGTTTAATTTTCATAAAAATTTGACAAAATGTTTACTTTGACCCTTTGACAAAAATATAAAAATTTCAAAAAATTTGAACCAACCGCTTTATCAGAAAAATTTCATTGGTTATATAGCAGTTTGACAAACACTAATTTTGATCATTGAGAAGCTTAATATTTCCTTAACAATACAACGTAATTAAAACGTTTAGCTGATTTTTACAGAGTTATCTCCCTGTAGTGTTAGGTACCACCTTAACCGTCTACATGTGAAATTTCATTACAAGCGTTTTTAACATTAGACAATGGTATCAGTTTAGTAAGTCTATTGTTGTAAAAGCAAAGAAATGCAAATAATTTTTCAAGAAACCTGAAACTTAGAATCAAGCTGTGTCAAACTACGTGTTCCTTCAACAGTTCTACGCTTCTCTGTCCACTGACAATACATTTATGATCTGTTGCTTTCAAATTTCAATATTATAAGGATACACAATGGTGTTTAAGTTAAAAAAGAAAAGTGCAAAATTTAATTGATACGAATACAAGATACGAGAAACGTCAATGAGATAGCATCCCAACAACAACATAAAAGACAGCAATTCCCTGAAGCTTTAATTAAGGGAGGATTTTTCTCCAATTTGTGTTGGATATGCATTTGAACAAGTAGCACAGCAAAATGGACCTCCCATCAGCATGAACCATACAGCCGGACGGCAAAAGCCAAGGTAACAAAATATCTATAAATCAATCAATCATGGCCACTATTGTTGTAAACGCAAAGAAATGCAAACCGTTTTTCTTGAAAAATTTATCTTATTATAAAATAGCCTGGTTACTACATTCTAATAAGGAAAGTATAACTGTGAGAGGTAAACTAGACTGATTGCTTTAGACTTACCTGTGGCCATGTTGTAAAACGAAATCTTGTCTTTTATTGTCCTAAAATAATAATAATAAAAACATACAAATACTATGTAAATATATATATTGTGCATCGTCTATCAAACGCGCATGTCTCGTAAAACGAAGCCATCTACGCAAATACAATTCAGAAACGAGGTCCAAAATGACAGGATGCATAAAATGAATACAAACACGTTTTTGTTACGTTTTTGTTAGGAAGGTTTTGTTTAGAGAGGGGGTCGTGTTTCTTGATCATCAGTTTTTGTGAAGTGTTTCGTGGATTGACTTTTTTCCTTTACCATGTTGTTGTCAGTCTATCATCTACATAAATACGAAGCAGGGTTCGTATTCATGTCACACTTTAATGTTCTCGTCCAGAAGTCCAGAATATACACACAAGAACTACCATTAGATGTAAACATCCATCCAATAAGTACCATGAACAAATTCCCTGTTTGTGGCCACTTAAGGAGATTCGCTACTTTTGTTTTTGACTTTCTGTCAGATATTTGGAATCATTAGTTTTATCCATGTAGTACGAAGTAAAAATTTGCTAAGTAACCCCTACTTTTGTTCTCATAATTTTATTACATATAGTATAAAAAGCCATTTTTTTAAAATCTTATACAATCCTTGGTATTTGTTCAAAGTTTTCAAAAAAAAAAAGGTGCCAATGTCAAATGTATGAAAAGTCTAAAGAGAACCCTTTCCCGCCAAATTTTTATTGATTATATCTGTAAAGTAAGGACACAGACCTTTCTTTTTTTCTGATATCTAAGTTCCTTTATTTATATACTATCAATTAATTACAGTCTTTTAAAAACCTTGTTATTTTGAAACAGAGGACCGAACATCCTTAAAAAAAAAAACCTATTAATTTGGATAAATGGCGTTACACCACACATTTTACCCAATGATATCTATTTCAAAATAAGAACACATGTGATTGTTTATTTCCTTTTGCTAAAACATAGACAATATTACTTCATCTAACTGCAGTGGTAAAAGGTAAAATGGATTCAAGATGTTCCACTCTGACCTTTACCATTTATTCAAATTCTATTCGAGATGAAAACTGCATAAAACATTAAAGCTGTTTGATGACGGGTTATTCTCTTTTAGCGTATCTTGAACACCAGACTATTCGACAACTCATAAAATAATGTTCCCTTTTAATTGAGTTTTCCAAACGGTTATAACTATACTTTTTTGTCCTGAATTTTACTTCTTTCATTAAGTGCTAAATAAAAATAAAACCCTGTATTTTTGTTCTTCACATTAAAACAATTTTAATTCAATTAAACAATCAGATATATCAAAAAGTATAATTTTGTTCGTTATTATTAATTTCTTGATGTTTGTTTGCTTAACGTCCAGTTGAAAACATTGTGCGACGATCTTTATTTTTGTAAATGTACCACTTGTACTAAATAAGGAAATTAAATATAATATTTGTGCAGATGAAGAGATAGAGATAGATTTCTTAATCAAAACATGAAATTCATAATGTAAAACATATATCAATAAAAAAGACCATCTACTTTAGAAGCCAGTTACAAAATTTGGTCAGAATACAACGCGTTAAACCCCGCACGTGGCAGATGCGTTCGACTCCAATCTTAATTTAATAGGATTGTCAGTTTTCCTACGGAAGGTCGGAGGTTGTCTTTGAGCACTCCGGCTTCCTCCACTAATAAAAACTAATCGCCACGAAATAGCGCAATAGTGCTGAAAGTCACGTTAAACACCAATTGATCAAATCAAATCAAATCAACACGTTAAAGCTTTTGAACGTCGATTAATGTAAATAGATTGTACATCTTAAACTTGTTCTCAAATTTATTCGATAGCACACCAGCCAATCAATTATGGAGATTAGAAACTAGTTAAATTTTACTTTGAATGTGGTATTTATACATGTACACTTGATAAATTTGTAATCAGTATGACACTTTCAATGCTAATTTTAAACCCGATGTATTTTGCGTCGATTAAAGTGACTTTGGCTGAGGTTTAGAAACCGTGTGGTCAGTGTAACATTCTTTAAAAAATGTTTAGTACTCTTAAGACGAATGTCTTGTTCTTGAAGTTAATATAACTACCGGGTTCAACAACGTCGTAAGTTATGGTGTACATGAGAATTTTACATTTGTTACAATCCCCGTTTCTTATGCATCTTACCTTGCATGTTTTATGTCCTTATCAAATAGTTGTAACCATTGTATTATTCCACAGAACAATAAATACACAAAAAAAATTGGTAAACACTATATTGTTTATATATACGTTTCCTATAATTTATTCACCCGTAAACAAAAATCTTTTATGCGCATTTAAATAACACATATTAAATGGAAACACCTATTAAATCGATAAAGTATATTTGACATACAATATATTATATACATATAAGTTTAAAACCCCAATATGTTATCTCTGTTTCAAATAAGACACATGGACACTCTCATTGTGCTGTTAATTTAAAGCAAAGTATGTCAAATGCATTTATATAATATTTAGAATAGTCATTTCAGATGTATTTTGTGGTAAGAAGAATGGAAATTAAAGACATTTTGTATATAAGTGTATGTCTCCTTCTTAGACATTTAGCACACTGTCTCGGCACATACTAATTGAAGTAATTGCCTTCCCAGTCCCCCAACCAGGACGTGACGACTAAACTACAAGCAATTAACCTCGCAAAATATCAATAAATTTAATGCAATAAAAGAGGGACTGTATGCAGATTTCAACTTCTATAAAATTATTTTGAACTAATGCATTTTCAATATCTAAAATCAAAAGTTTGTTGTGATAGGTATTTAGCAGATATTTAAGGGAGGTGTTAGCAATCTCCGTTTTATACTATATTTTCTAGAATAAGTCAAATGATACGCCTTCATTTTACTTTAATAATGTGTAAAAAAAAATAATAACATTTATAAATCAAATATTAACAAATATTTTCAACAAGTAGCACAGGGTTATTATAGTAGTCAATCACACCTAATCTAGTGGAAACTTTGTGCCTTGTTTTCTTAACCCTTGTGGCGAGTGCACTTTAGAGTAAAGTTGGTAAGATCTAAATAGGAGTGAGAAATGATTAAAAACACATGTTAAAGTTGAAAGGTTTAAAGTTGCGATCGTGGGAATTCAGAAGGAAATATTTATGCTAGGTCAGCTGATAATCTGAGCTGAAACTGTACACACGTATTAATAGATTATAAAGATATTTTACTATATTGAAATGGAATTAAAAATGTAACTTTACAATAGACTCAGTTATTATTGGGACACATAAGATGTGATATAAAATCTTGGCAAACATCGTCGTCAACAACCCAACAATGTAAGAGAGAAATGTAAAAGTGAAAGGTATACGTCATTAGTCAGCTAGTTCCCCTGATACCTTGGTCCTATGCAACATCGAGGATTACAAGCGTATCATATGGTGGAGGTCCCGGTGGTTGTTTAAAATGGACTTGTTATGTCATACCAGTTGAGAAACAGAATCATTGAACATTCAAAATTGAGCGATTTCGAAAGTGAAGAGTCTTTTCAAAATCAACCTGAACCGGAGGAAATTCATCCGAAAAATCTAGTCAGCCAACACCAACACAAGCCACAGTGAACAGTGAACATTTCGAAGCATTAATGAGCAACATCAGTCAAATGGCTAAAACATTCCAACATGGATTAAAATCATCTACACCGGGATTTTCTATAGATGGTTTTGCCGGGTTACCAACCGAAGATGCCAACCTATGGCTCGATAAATTCGATGCATGGATTGCGTTCCATGGATGGAACAAGGAAAATGAAAAAATTGCAGGTGCTATGCGTCTCAAACTGGAAGGAGGTGCGCTATCGTGGTTTAATGGTCTGTCCAATAGTGTAAAACGAAACAGTGATATATTATTTATTCCCATTTCAAAGAACATTTTAGTGGACTTCACCCGACATGGATGCTGGAACAACATTTATATGAACGATGTATGCTTCCATCAGAATCACTCGAAGTCTACATTAGTGACATTGAGAAACGGTGTAGCCGTTTGTGCAAAACAGACAGAGAGACTACTACCGCATTCATCAGAGGACTACCTGGATCGTTACGTGTGTTTGTGATTCAAAGGGACCCAAAATACTTCAAAGATGCCGTACAGTCTGCAAGATTGGCACAAGAATTTATGGGCGGACTCACAAGCACCTTCGAATATGGAGCTTCAAACTCAGTGTTGAATAAACTTTCTGACCAAGAGAAGGCAATCAATGATTTGAAGACACTATATCCGCTATGCAGATTTCTCCCCCTAGAATAAACAAAAGTGAGTACAAAGTAGAGTGTCAACTCTGTACGAAAACCGGACATTCTGCCAAAGACTGTCGAAGTTACAGTATACAAGAAAAATCTGGTTTTAATAAAAAGAGGGACATCGAGTGTTATAATTGTCACAAGCGTGGACATTACGCAAGAGAGTGTCGAGAATATTATATGGGAAACTAAAAAAGCCTAACAGTTCGGGGCGACTTGTTAGGCCGGAAGAACTTATTGACCCGCCAAGCCCAACAGTAAGTGACAGTTTGTGTACCGTAAACGCTGCTTCTTTGATAAACAATTATATCAAGATTTCTATTGATAAATATGATACATTTGCTTTGATAGATACAGGTGCAGATATTCCTGTTGCAAATCCTTCTTTAATTAGCAAATTGAGAAATATTGGTGTAAGAGTAAAGATTGATAGATCTGATAATGAAAAGGTTAAACTTATTGGTGTAATTAGTGTAAATATTAAAGTTGGGAAGGAGAATGCACATGTTAGATTTTATTTAGTACCTGGTCTAGAACCTAACATTATTTTAGGTATTGATTTACTTAAGAGTAAAGAAGTAGAGATTGATTTTGTAAATAGAAAGGTTACTTTTGATCCTAGGAGTCAGTTAGTTGCACAAACTGGTGTTACTGTACCTCCAGGTCAGAAAAGTTAATTGTTGCAAAAACTAAAGGCACACCTCTGCCTGATTTCATTTTAGGTATTTCTACAGAGTCCCCTGTTTTGGCTTCTCATAGCTTATTAGCTGCGAAATCACTTTATGAGGTTAGAAACGGGACAGTAGCACATGGTTTATGCAATTTAACAGATAAGCCTATTACAATTAAGAAGAATTCTAATGTAGGGAAATTTGTGTGCTTATCGGACAAAGATAAGGTGTTTATTGTTAATGAATCAAAGACGTCTGCGTCTGTGCAAAACACGCCCATCGAAGATGATGGCGCTGTAATGAATGAAATACTTTCACACATAGGTCATGACCTAAACGATAAAGAGAGAGATCAGCTGGTCAATTTACTAGAAAATTACTCTAATGTTTTTGTAAACGGTGGAAAGTTAGGAAATTGCGATATTTTACAACATGAAATTAGCATGCCATGCGATCAAAAACCGATTAGACAACGACCGAATAAGATTGGTAATAAACAAAAACAAATATTAGAAAACATGATAGAGGATATGTTAAAACAAGATATTATAGAACCAAGTACTAGTCCTTGGGCAGCGCCATGTTTACTTGTTGCTAAGAAAAACAATACCGAGTATAGATTCGTGGTTGATTATAGAAAAATTAATTCTATAACAGAACAGGATGCCCATCCCCTTTTAACTACTGACGATGCATTAGAAAGCTTGGGGGCCAACCAACCCTCATACTTTAGTTGTTTGGACCTTCGTGGTGGATTTTATCAGACTCAGATCAGTCCTAAGTCTCGCCCATATACAGCGTGGAGATGCCATTTAGGACTTTTTCAATTTAAACGTCTTCCAATTGGACTAAAAAATAGTCCTCAAATGTTTCAAAGATTATTGGAAACCGTATTACGAGGAATGACATTCAAATTTTGTTTGATCTATTTAGATGACATAATAGTGTTTTCAAAAACTTTTAATGAACATATAGAACACTTGAGAGACGTTTTTGTTAAACTACGAGATGCTGGACTTAAACTGCATCCCCAAAAATGTTCATTTGCACAAAGGGAGATAAATTATTTAGGACACAAAGTTAGCAACGAGGATATTGCGCCAGATCAGTCAAAAATCGACGCAATCACTAAGTATCCCGTTCCACGTAAACTTAAAGATCTACGTGCCTTTTTAGGTTTATCAGGATATTATAGGAAATTTGTTCAAAATTATGCAAAGATTGCCGCTCCGCTTTATGCACTGACTAAGAAAAACTGTGATTTTGTATGGTAAAAAGAATTTGACAGTGCATTTGAACACTTAAAATCCGCATTGACGTCACCACCGATTTTGGCGTATCCAGACTATGATAGACCTATTCGTGTTTACACTATGCTAGCTCTTTTGCGTTAGGTGCCGTTCTCTGTCAAGAACAAAGTGGTCAAGAGAGAGTAATTTGCTATACTGGTCGTGCATTGAGTAAACAGGAACAAAACTATGGAATTACCGAACTGGAATGTCTAGCTCTAGTTTTTGCTAAAAAGAAATTTGACTGTTATCTCCGATTTACAAGTTTTACGGCTTACGTGGATCATGCCGCTTTGAAATGGCTACTTTCGCTTAAAGAACCAACAGGCAAATTTGCTCGATGGGTTGCACTCATACAACATATAACTTTGAAATCGTGTATAGACCTGGATCATCACATGGCAACGCTGATGGAGTAAGCAGGCGTACATATGTTGATTCACCGGATGATGACCTCGTCGACAACGAAAGTCTTTTTAATATATTACCATCATATCAAATACACGAAACTCAACAGTTAAATACGAAAGAATCATCAAATCCGAACGTGCAGATAACAACTATACATATATCATAGACTACTTAGAGACCGGTAGATTACATAAAGATAAGGACAAGCACAGAAAAGTATGAGTGCTACAGCCATTTTATTTCTTACATGATGACATTTTATATCACGTTGATAAACGATCAAAACGTGGACGAAGAGACTTAAATGCAAATATTCAGTTAGCAATTCCACGAAAAATGGTTCCAACAATTTTAGCAGAAACCCACAATAGTTTTTTTCTGGTAACTTAGGAATAAGTAGAACTATCCGGAGGACTCAACGTCTTTATTTTTGGCCATTAATGAATAGCGTCATTGAAAACTGGATAAAGTCGTGTGAACTTTGTTCGGAGCGTAAACAACCTCCAAATCCTGTCCGAGCTCAGCTATCTAGCATGCCTATAGCATCAATGCCTTTTGAAAGAGTCAGTACTGACATTATGGGACCGTTACCCGTTAGTGGACCGTTCAATTATCAATATGTGCTTGTATTCATTTGCTATTTTACAAAGTACGTTGA